CTGTAAGTAATTGTTCTTTAAATTATGTTTGGACAAATATCTGCTATCACTCCTTGTGAAGCTATTAGTAGTAGTAAAGCTACTTGTTTTTACTAGCAGTGTTTGAGACTCTATCTGTGTGTTTCTTCTACTAGCAACGTTCCTTCTCTCTAGCTGTACATTCCGCTGCGCTACTTTCTGTCTCCCAACGGAGATACCCCTAACAACGTGCTTCAATGTTGGTAGAGAAAAAGAGAAGAGCAGACAAGAAGCTGAGTCCCTGGTTTTATGCCCTCTCTGGCCTTTGATCTTGAGCTTGCATTCTTTTTTTTTTCTTTTTTTTGAAAAAGTTTTATTGTTTTAATTAAACAAAAACAGAAAAAAAGAATCATCTTTCGTTATATCTTGTAGAAAGTGTGTCGATTGGTTACAAATACATTTGGTGTGGAGCCTTCTTGGAAATGTTGAAAGGACTGTTGTTATAGGTTGGGGATAGATGAAAAAGCACCTTTGGGAGAACCATGACCTGGATGACTGAGAAACTCCAGACATGTAGACAGAATGCTAAAAGAAAAGCTGAACCAGCCAGTGGTGGTGACTATGTGTCTGCATGTCATGCACCTATGGATAAGTCAATCATGATTTACACGTTGATTCAAAAATATGAAGTAACACCAATGGCTGATTTTGCACAGAAGCCAGATAGTCAATGTATCATGTACATCTACTCAGAGCTTTGAGAATCAGATTCAAGAATAGTTGGGTTCAAGTATCATGGCTTAGGAAACCATGTGCAAACCATGCCAATATGTTTACTTCCTATCAGGCAGCAACTTTAACCCTGGGACCCAGATATCTGCAATATTCTCTTATTGCAGCATTTCCAACCTTGGTAGCTTTAAGATGGGTGGACTTCAACTCCCAGAATTCCCCAGCCAGCCTGGAATATGTATATAATTTCCTTGTTTTTGCTCTTGAATGTTCCTTTGTAAAGCAAAGTTATAAACATAAACAATTAACATGTTTTCATACTTACGGCCTTTTTCCAGTATTGGCAGATTTTCCAAGTTTGTCCTTTATTATTTCCAAGAAAATAGGATCGCCGCATATTGAACTCATTTCAGAAATTGAATATCCCCAAGAGAAACAGAATTTAAGCATGTCTTACCGCATGTTAAAGGGAGCCATAAGCCGGACCACATATTGCCTGTCCTTTGGAAGTTTAAGCTTGGGGATCTTAGATGGATCGAAATCTGGAGGGTAGTATTTCTAGAAAATAAATAAATATAATTGAAATAACTTTTTTTGGTCTTTTTTTCTTTTAACTTTATTTTATTCAAAAGATGAAAATACAAACGCCAAAGGGAAAAAAAATAAGTGTCAAAACTAGACAAAAACATTAAAAAGGTCAATTAAAAAACAAAAGACATATTAGCCTCCCAATTTTAAAAAATTGAAAGGAGACAGAAGACAAAGAAATAACTGATCCTTTATTAATATCAATAGCCTTAACATCAATCTTAGATGGATTGAAATCCAGAAGGTAGCGTTTCTAGAACGCCCAAAAATAAAAAATATAATTAAAATTACTTTTTTTGTCTTTTTTTCTTGCCGTTTTATTTTATTCAAAAGATTAAAACACAAACTCCAAAAGGGGAAAAAAAATCAAAACAAAGCTAGACAAAAACATTAAAATAGTGAAATTAAAAAAAAAACAAAAGACACATATTAACTCCCAATTTTCAATTTTAATTTACATGAGCGAGATTCGAACAGCTTGACACAATGGTCAGATATGGGAGATTCCATTCTATACCCTACAATGAGCGTCTCTGCATTTGCGGAGCAGCAGAGGTAGAAGACCTGGCTCACATTCTATTTGATTGTGGCTTGTATGAGGGGGTAAGAGACATGTACCTTGGTCTACATACCAAAAGAATGACCCATTGGGACCCCCATATCAAAACAACTTATCTTATGTGCAGCCAGAACCGGAAAATAACATTTAACACAGCACAGTATACTGAAACAAAATGGCTCGGTTGAGATTTGCATATGTGGGACTGATTGGGGTAAATTGCAGGGGTGACGTCGAAATATAATTTTATTTTATCTATATTTTAAACTATTGTATTTATTCCAATTTCATTTTAGACTGTATTTTATTCCAATTCCATTTTAAATTGCATTTTATCAAATTTCATTTTAAATTGCTTTTATCAATTTCTAGTAATAATTTGTTTCTGTAACTTCGCCCTTTGATATGGCCCAGGGGCTAATCAAGAAAGATTCAATGCAATTTTTAAAAAAATGAAAAAAGAGACCAAAAAAGAAATAACTGATCGTTTATTAATATCAACAGCCTAG